CTTGCGAGAGGATGGAAGGAAATCGTATTCCTCACGATTGGCACGAGCTGTTTAGATGCCTGATCCTGCAGCTGAGCTTGCGGAGCAAAGTTCTTTCTGTAATGAAGCTGAAAACCTTCCGCGGGCTGAGGAACGTCCATCAAGAATGTGCAAACCTCCCTCATGGCTAAAAGATTTCGAGACGTAAATGTATAGTTATACATTGCAGAGCCTATAGCTTATATGTTCTGTTCCTGTTATAATTAATATAAGCTTGTTTTGTGCTCAAGCAATATATTTTGAGAAGAAGAAAAAAATACTGTGCAACAATTTTACTTCCTTGGGTTATTGCTTTTTGTTTTTTTGTTTTATGGTAATTATTGATAGATTTAAGTGGGAAGGAAAATATCTTACGTATTGGGGGGATGTTGTGTCTACATAAACTGCTGTTACAAGAACTGAACACTAGAGGGAGATAGAGAAGTGCTATCGATCAGTGTTGATATAAGAGAGGTTCATGTGAGTTCGACCTGGATTAAAAAGAGTGAGCATCTAAGAATTCTTGTGCCATCGCATCATTTATTGTTTTGTAAAATTAAGTTACAGTATAACACATTCCCTTCTGAAACATGCAGAGGCGGAAAGTGTGAATAGGAGCTGTCCATGAGCTAGGAGCAGGAGTCAATTTTGCTAGGTATTCTGATTAATTATTTTTTCATTTTGCCTCCACGTTTCCCCAACTGCCTTTTCTCGAGCTTCTTCTCCTGTCCATACGGTAATCTCTCTACTGTGCGACAGAGAGTCGCGTGGGTATGACGCAATCGTTAGCCTACTTTTACAAAAACTGCTTCTATGGGGCCATAACATAAGTTACAAGGTAATGGAGCATTTAATACATTGTCGTGTTTCTTTAGAAATAAATAAAGGACAAATGGGGTCTTCAAACATCTCAGATGTAAAGTTATTCGCTGTCAAAGTGACGCCAAAATGAATGGGAGTCAATGGGAACGCTAACGCAAGTGAAGTTCTGCTACAAGATGGCAGCTCCCGTGAGGCTTCAACTTCCGGTCAATGGATTACCCCCTTGCACAATATACACAAATCTGGCGAAACAAGGAAGTAAAGCAGCGCCGCCATTACTGCGGGCCTTGCTGCTGCGGAAGTAGTGTGTTGTTCTCGTAGGCGGCTATAGCAGATGTTAGATGCTTTTTTTTAGTTATTTGATTGTCTTTTCATGAATAAACAAACACTGTTATGTTGTCTTGATTGATACTGTAAAGCAGCTTTGCGCTATATTAATATATTTGACTTGACTTGACTATTTTGTACGTATGTCCAGTGATGCCGGGAAGAGCGTGTTGTGTGGTTGGCTGTTTTAATAATTTTCTCTGTATTGTTACTGACACATTATGGTACGAGTTCACTGCCTGTGAAAACCTCACGACACCTTTTAATGTGATGAGCTCATCTGCGATGGTATGCAGTATCTGGCCAATCCATCCAGAGCTCGTGTATTTCTGACCTTCAATCAATGTCCTGTAATTTAGGTTCTGAAGCTCATCGCATGCCAGACGATTAATAAAATAATCTTGAATACCTGTAAGAACATGTATTTCATTGCTAAAACTGGTCGTTGCTAATAGTTGTCTGCAACTTGTGAATAGGGTTGCCAACTTCAGAGAAAAATGTGGGACAAGTGTTGTTCTTTACAGGAATATAAGAGACACTGAAAATATTTGTACTGTATCAAACAGTATGTCATTTCAGGTTAGTATTCGTTTAAAATTTTCTTTTTTTAAACACAAAAGTTTAAACATTTGTTTTGCTTAACCTATTTATGTACAATTTAATTGTAAATCGGATTTTAAGATCACACAAAATAAAAAAAAACATTACACAAATCTTCTTCTTCTCACATTACACAAATCTTACACATACTTCAAAATAATAGCATTTATCTGAAATAAAAAGCTTTTGTAACATATGCTACATTTGAAAAAAATTAAAGAAAGTAATAGCCTACTTTTATTCAAGGACGCATTAAAGTAATCAAAAAGTGAACGCAGAAATTTATAATGTTACAAAGATTTTTTATTTTGGATAAATCTACTTTGAATCTTCTATTCATCAAGGAATCCTGACTTTTTAAAAAGAAAACATTAATAATAATCAGAAATGTTTCTTGGGCAGCAAATCACATCAGCATTTTATTACCTCTGTAATATTTCATGTTTTCTTGCGTGGCTGGATGTTGAGTTTGTATGGTCTGATGCGCGTGTGGGCTGTGATGGATTATGACCGGTGTCGTGATCATTCTCAAATGTTGTGTTGCTGGTGTAGTCAATTTAATCGGGACAGTTGGCATGTGAACATATTAGCAAGACATCTTTGACTATGACAGCGTTCGGTTTTATTGTTGTCATAAATTAATACACGTCTTAATTACATTACATTAGGCTGACGCATTTTTACATTAACACATGTTATCAATAAATTACCTTTATCTGTAAGTTTTGGCCACTGCCTGACATCATCTACCCAATGTAAACCAGACATTTTATTTCATAAGCAGGATCCGCTGAAATATCATAATATTTGAAATATCATAAGAGGGCTGTCACCGTCACACTTCGCAGGCCCGCAGTAATGGCGGCAGGCAAGATGGCGGCGCCCATAGAGTTTGCGACGGATTTGTGTATAGTTATTCATTTTACACGCTTAGAAGAGTTTTATTTTGTGTCACCGTCCTAGGTCGAGTTACACTGCTCGAGTAACTGTATTTGTTGTCATAACAAAGACATTTCAAATAAAGTGTTACCCTGTATTTAAATAGGGAAAACGCGGAGGTGTTTGGTCGCTTCTCTGCTTGGCCCATATTGAAAGAACTGGGCTAGTCAAGTGCTATCAAAGTGTCTTGCGTGCCAGAGCTATTGAGTGCATGCATTGGGTCTCATTTATGAAACATTGGTAAATATAAGAGTAAATATGAGAGTGATTTGCGCGTAAAGAGACCTTCTCGAAAACTCGTAAACGTCAGATGTCATAGTGAAATTTGTGTGTGTGGTAGTGAATTCCAACCAGTCGTAAATGGGATGCTCGTTCATTCTCAATTAACATAAATCCCGCCCATTATATCCGACTGACATCTATATATAGGCATATAATAACATAAATGCGAATGAAAAAGAAAGATTTCTCGGATGCAGAAATTGAAGTTTTATTATCAGAAGTTCATTCAAAACAAAAATTTTATGAGCAGGTGTAGATTTCTTGCATACCAACTAACATTTGAAAAATACAAAACAATTTAATGAATACGAAAATTTACGCTAGAACCACTTTACCCACGATTTACACAAAGATTCATTCTGCTCGTGTTTCATGAATGAGACCCAATGAGACGACAGAGGTTTGTATCAACTCGTCTTAGTTAAGGGAATAACATAGTTTAATATGAAAAAAATGGTGGAGTATCCCTTTAAGGTTGGTCTCTTTTTAAATAAGACACCAAGCAGATCCTTGTAGAAGTTAAAGCAATAATTCGAAAGTTCAAGTGTAAAAAAGCTATAAAAATATACTTTAAAGCAAATGTACTGAACTGAACAGTTTTTATTTTATACAAAATATATTTCACAAAATAATTTTGATTTGTTTTCTAGAAAATCAAAGGCATTTGTCTAACCAAAATTGTATTACAAATTGAAAAATGTTGTCCGCTAAAAGGATTTAGAATACCATTTCCAAGATATCAAATTTCAAAGAGTTTTTTAAAGGATAAAAGTATTTAAGCTTTCAAATGATAACTAATTCTTGATGATTACTAAAATACATGACATGGGGAAAAAAATCAATAAAAGCACACAAAGTGTCCCGCTACCGGAATAATGACAATTGACAGGCTATCTAACATGAACTAACAATGAGTAATACATTTTTGACAATTAATCTTTGTAATTAAAGTAATTAATCTTTGTTCAAGTAAAAGTTTAGAAAAACAGTTGTTCATTGAAAGTGTCACAGTGTCGGGTGTATGTTCCCTGGTGTCCACTAGAGGTCCTCTTTCCCCATGGTGTCATTCACTTTTGGAACTACATTCCCCACAATCCTTGTCTGCGCTCATCACTGTTCATTGCACTCAGCTGTTCCCCATCATGATTGTCATGTTCTGTGTGTATAACTACCCTGCCTATTTAATGTTTGTAACGGAGTCCTTGTTTAAAGGGTCAGTTCACCCAAAAATGAAAATTAAGTCATTATTTACTCACCCCCATGCTGTACTAACCCTGTAAGACCTTCGTTCATCTTCAGAACACAAATAAAGATATTTTTGATTAAATTTGAGAGGTGGATCACTGCTACATGGGCTCCTAAAGGATTGAAACTTGACGGCCCAGAAAGTCATTGAAGAAAATGTTTAAATAGGATGTGACTACAGTGGCTCAAGTATAAGTTTATAAAGGGACAAGAATACTTTTTGTGCGGAAATAACAACTTTATTCGACTATTCCTTTTCTTCCTTCTGGGCCTGAGATGAGAGTTCAAGAGATTTCCACGACACATGCGCGAGAATTGCGTTCTTATTCTATGACTTCTTGTTCAGTTCTCGCGCATGCGTCGTGCAAATCTCTTGAACTCTCGTCTCAGGCCCAGAAGGAAGAAAAGGAATAGTCGAATAAAGTTGTTTTTATATTTATGTTTTATATATTTTATATTTATGTTTTATTTCCGCACAAAAAAGTATTCTCGTCACTTGATAAACTTATACTTGAGCCACTGAAACATTTTCTTCAATAACTTTCTGGGCCGTCAAGTTTCAGTCCTTTAGGAGCCTATGTAGCAGTGATCCACCTCTCAAATTTAATAAAAAAATATCTTCATTTGTGTTCTGAAGATGAATGTAGGTCTTACGGGGTTGTTACAGCATGAGGGTGAGTAATTAATGACTTAATTTTCATTTTTGGGTGAACTAACCCTGTATCTGGTATTTAAATTACCATGGCCATTTATATGAGCACACTTACACATCAATTAGGGTAGCATGGTCGGAGGTGATCCGAGAAAAGTGGTTTTCCACCATGGTCACAGTGCCCGTAAGTGCCACATGCCCACAGCCGCAGAACAGAGCCACACCCGAAAAGCACAAGACGGTGGCCACCAAAGAGGCATAGGGGACACCACCCAGACACTTGATGCAACACTCGAAGCAGCCTGTAGGGGGAAAAAAAGACATTTTGTGTTTTGTCAGAATTCGCTCCAGCAAATGCTACTTCCTAGTTTGTGTTTGTGGTGAGCAGGACACCTGAGGGACGTGAGAGAACATCGCAAGGCCGGTGGTGCAATTACTAATGAGCAGCACCTGTGAAGCACACCGGTGTCGCATCTCTCATGGAGGAACAGAAGCGGAAGCATAAAGGGGGAGCGACAGAGTGGATGATTGATAGAGGAACAGGCCTGCTTTTGTTTGTATTTTATATTTTATTTTGTAAGCCAGCAGTCGTCCACGAGGGGCTGCTGGCCTGTAGTTATGTTTTATTTGGGTAGGTATTTTTGGGCAGGTATTTTGTTTGTTTATTTCATTTAAATAAAGTTTTATTTTGATTGATACCCGGTTCCTGCCTCCTTCTTCCCGAACCTTGTTACAGTGTTACTTTGATTTTTTTTTCTTGATGTGCTTATTATTCACACATATATTTGGTAACACTTTATTTGGATAGTCAATCTGTAGATGCTCTAAAAGTATCAACAGAGTATCAGTATTATTTCTCTACTGAATGTCTGCAGACTTTCAACAGTTCATCTGTACATGATTTACAAACTATCAACAAATTATCATAAATTCATAATTGAATGTCTGTAGACATTCAACAACAAAGTGTTTGTAGTACATCTATAGATATTCAACAAACCATCTATAACCCATAAGAAGCATTTAAAACCACATTTGCAACTATCAGTAGCGGTCCCTGAATGTATATTTTCATTTTCTTTATGGCAATCTACATATCTAGAGCTACTCAGCTGCATTGCTACAGCACATTTGTAGATTTTTCAGTAGCATCTCTGTATCTTTGCATTTTCATTATGGTAATCTACATATTATGTATAGTTACTCAGCTGCATTGCTACGGCACATTTGTAGATTTTCAGTACCATATCGTTGCATTTTCATTATGGTAATCTTCATAATTTCTAAAGCTACTCAGCTGCATTGCATACCACACATTTGTAGATTTTCAGTAGCATCTCTGTATCTTTTAGGGCTGGGTATCGATTCACATTTCAATTTCGATTCGATTTCGATTCACAAGCTCTCAGTTCGATTCGATTTCGATTCTCGATTCAATTTTCGATTTCGATTCCTGATTTGATTCTCGATTCGACTATAATGAAGATAAAATACAAATCCTATATTTATAAAAAAGAACAGTGGACATAAGTTTACTAGTGGTTAATTAATACATGGAAATTAAGAGCCATAAACCTGTATATAAAACTCTTTTTATTTTAGGTACACTAAATGCATACAGAGAATAAACAGGATTTTGATGCAATATGCAAAAAAAGTCAGAACAGTCACACAGCTTGATCAAACAGTATCATGTTATTTTATGTTTAAGATAGATATAGATAAATAAATATATAAATATTTAGACTTTTTTTTTTTACATTGATCTTACCTAAATGGTAATGTAATTTTTTGTTTATTTTTGTTTTAAGAGTTTATGTATGGAAGCTTGATTTCAATCTTTGAATTAAATTGAAAAAAGTAGCACAAATAAATACAATACAATAGAATAAAGACACAAATTAAGAGACATTTTGGGGTAGTTTTTTGGGTATGTCAGAAATACTACAGAAACTGAATAAAGTAATCCAATGTAAAATAACACTGGATAGTCTTTTTAGTCCAGACTGAATTAAATACAAAGGCTATTCATTCTGATTGCTTACAATTAATACTATATTCTGTTGTTATGACAACAGAATTAATGACTGACACAAATGGCTGCGTTCACTTTAAGAACTAGTGCGCGAATCCATTGCTGTTTCATTAACTTTCTGTCACACACATTTAATGCTAATTTAAGACATTACCGACTGTCTTTAGGAGGTTACTCACCAAGACCAGAGTTTTGACATAATGTCGCGTGTTTTAACTGTTAAAGTGATATAATCCAGGGATAAAATTTTTGTTTCTGGCGAGCTGTTTGTAAGGCAGATTCAGGCTGTAACGTTACTGTGCACGCAGTGAAAGACATCTCTGAGAGTGCGCGAGCACGGGATGGTTTAACATTGCTTGTAAAACTCAAAAAGACGTGAAAATGATAAACGTTAGTTACGATCATAGGTTACGATCCAATGCTGGCCCGATTGTTAAGTGAATATTCCGTCGTGTCCCGACTCCTAAACGCGTGTGTGTATCGACAGCTGCAGCGCTTGGCGCTTGATTAGTGCAGAGAGACGAGAAGATGCAGCACCGCATCCGCGAGCCCTTTATATGGAAAAATCGATTCCGGCCGTTGAGAATCGATTTTGAATCGAACACATTTTAAAAAACGATTAATCGAAAAATCGATTTTTTTGCCCAGCCCTAGTATCTTTGCATTTTCATTACGGTAATCTATTATGCATACATAGTTACTCAGCTGCATTGCTACAGCACATTTGTAGATTTTCAGTAGCATCTCTGTATCTTTGCATTTTCATTACGGTAATCTACATATTATGCACATTTACTCAGCTGCATTGCTACAGCACATTTGTAGATTTTCAGTAGCATCTCTGTATGTATATGTTTATATCTGGTGTTCTATATGACACGTACAGCAAATATTTAGGAGTGTATTCACAACATCTCTAATGCATCCATAACCATTTCACAACACATGTGATGTCATTCAAGTAACTATCCATAGATGTTCCTTGTGGCTATCCAAATGAAGTGAACCACAGGTGAAGCTTAGTTGACAGTTTATAGCTTATGTACTTCACATGAACAAATTATCAAGTCAGCAACAAAATCAGTGCATTTACAAACTCTCCCATGTTATAAAATAAATATCTACAAATCAAGTTCAGTGCATTCACAAACTGGAGCAATAGGGAAAATACCAGGTAAAAACAATCAACACGTCAACATCTTTTCTGGCTGTAATTCAAAAAAAAGCATCAGAGGTCAACATTTTATTATTGAAATGAAATCCCAGAATTATATTGCCGGGTATATTGCATCATGTACCACCAGATATGAAAAGATACATACAGAGATGCTACTGAAAATACTGTAGCTATAGAATAGCTGTAGAAATATAGCTATTTCTGTAGCTGAGTAGCTATAGAAATTATGAAGATTACCATAATGAAAATGCAAAGATACAGAGATGGTACTGAAAATCTACAAATGTGTCGTAGCAATACAGCTGAGTAACTATACATAATATGTAGATTACCATAATGAAAATGTAAGTGTTCTGCCCTTTATCTCAAACGCCTTGCTTGAGTATGCAGTCAGATAACGCCTCCCAAAGACAACAGACACAGGGATTGTTTCCAAGGTTTACTGTTGCCCAAGGAATAACGTAAAACTGTAAAAATACAAAATACAGAATCCTAAATGTACAGTACAGAGTAAATTACACGTTTCGCATTAACACTACAAAGGCTTTACATTGCATATAGTAGTTAGCAACTATAACAGAAATAGATTGTGCATTTACAAAACAAGGAAAATTAAATTGACGATATAAACTTATGGATATAAGATATAGCAGTTAAATATGCATAGGAATTATAATGTAGCAATATCTACATACCGAAAGTGCCTTCAAAACAACTTAAATGAAGGAGCAGAAGTAGCCATGACCGCATGCTCTTCTTTGCTGCTGGGCTCACATTAATGATGTCATCAAATAAAGACTTAAACAATATCATATGCAATACCCAACTCTGAACAGAAGGGGTCACTTTACGACAACTTTTAAATCAAATAAATGCAGAATGTTCATATAGAACAGCACACTCCCCGTCTGGTATTCAGGAAATACCAAACCTTCTTACTTGAGTGTAACCTGAACGGTTTATTCCGAATCTTCATGGAGGAGGAGTACTATCTCATTAATAGGTCTCAGAAACAGTTTGGGTCCGTCTTTCCCAATGATTTTTACTTGAACTTTTCGAACTCGCCCATCTTGGCTGGGGTAAGTTTCCGTTATGATGCCCAGGGGCCAATCGTTCCGTTTTGACTGAGAGTCCTTGAGCAGAACTATGCATCCTTTGGAAATGTTGGACTGTGGGTTTTGCCATTTTCTCCGATGCTGCAGGGTTGAAAGATACTGTTTACGCCATCTATCCCAGAAAGTGTTTGCGAGGCTTTGCACAGTACGCCACTGTTGTTTGTACAGATCAGGCTTTCCAAAGTCCCCAGGTGGAACTGAGCTAGTGCCAGTCTTTTGGGTAAGTAATGTGGAAGGTGTTAGGATGAAAGGATCTGTTGGATCCGTAGACACAGGAATCAGTGGTCTGTTGTTTATAATGGCAGTAACTTCAGCCATGAAGGTGGAGAGTACCTCGTGCGTGAGTTTAGAGGATGCCATCTGAAGAAGCATGGAGTCCAGAATTCTACGAGCAATGCCTATCATCCTCTCCCATGCACCCCCCATGTGCGACGAATGCGGAGGATTGAAAGTCCATGTGCAGCCGTGATCTGTCAGGAATTGTTTCACCGCCTTTTCATCAACATTGGAAGGAATTTGCAGGTCTTTACACGCTCCAATGAAATTGGTCCCTCTATCAGAGTGAATCTGTTTCACTGGACCCCGGATTGCCAGAAACCTCCTTAAAGCATTAATAAAACTGGAGGTATCTAGGGACTCAATCACTTCTATGTGAATGGCTCTGACACTTAAGCATGTGAATAGCACCGCCCATCTTTTGCTTTCTGCATAGACACCTCTTGTCCTACGAGCAGATACTGACCAGGGGCCAAACACATCTAGTCCCACATGTGTGAAGGGAGGCTCTGTGCTGAGCCTGTCAGCAGGCAGATCTGCCATCTTTTGAGTCTCGCAGCCCCTCCTGAGTCTGCGGCATACAACACAGGAATGGATGAGACTGTTCACACGTCTTTTGACTCCTATTATCCAGTAGCCAGCAGATCTTATCGCCCCCTCTGTGAAATGTCGACCCTGATGATGTGTTTGCTCGTGAAA